AGGGAAGGGAAGGGAAGGGAAGGGAAGGGAAGGGAAGGGAAGGGAAGGGAAGGGAGGACTGACATGATAGCAGCCTTTACAGTTTAAATGACTCTCAAGTAGAAGATATTTTGTTGTTTTTTTGAGGCTTCAGGGTACTGGGTTAGTAACACTGGGCGATACAGATTTGATGGCAGAATTAGAATACACCATGATTTTAGATCTGAGTTGGGCTCAATAAAAGGAACACTTTTCTAAAAATTAAACTGCCCAAAAAGTAATGAATGCTTTATAAAGAAATAAATTTCTCATCAGGGGAGGTGATTGAATGAAGTTGGACAATCACTAATTAGTAAGAGGATAGAAAGGATTCTCTCATTGAGAAGGAAGAGATCAGTGCCTCCAGGATCCCTTCCAAACCTGTGATGCCGTGGCAGCATTGCCCTCCCCGGGCACCGAGGAGTGCCATTCTATGAGACTGCATTACATGTTCTGTGGTGAGACAATTCTGTCTTAAAAAAGCTTGCGATACATTGGATTAAAGAGCTAAAAACAAGTTTAATTATTTCTAGGCATATCAGAGACTTTAATATGCTGATATATATTGCAAATATCTGAAAATAAGGGATTTGTGCTATAGAATTTCCTATGCTTATCTGACCCTGAGAATCTCTTCTTCAGCAGCCATTTCACAGCACAGCACCTAGTCACGTATGTAACATAGTTTGGGACATAATGGTTTATAACTTTGTAATGGCCTTCTGGTTCTGCCAGGATATTATCTCACCAAGGCCCTTTATGTGAAAAACAACATAACTTTTTTAAAAAATATATGTTTTTATTGATTTCAGAGAGAGGAAGGGAGAGGGAGAGAGAGCTAGAAACATGGTGAGAGAGAGTCATCAATCGGTTGCCTCCTGCACACCCCCTGCTGGGGATCGAGCCCACAACCCGGGCGTGGGCCCTGAGTGGGAATCAAACCACAATCTCCTCCTGGTTCATGGGTCGATGCTCAACCACTGAGCCGCGCCGGCCAAGCAAAACAACATCACTTTTACTTATCCTTTTGCGCAGTGAGACTGGTGCTCTCCAACCTTTCAGGAGCCATGGCTTTTCCTACCCCAGTATGCTGTCTGACCTGCCCACCAATCCACACTCCGGGGTGGCTGCCTTAGGACTGATGGCACCTCTATGCAAGCTTGCAGGGCTGGGGAGGGTTGGTGCCAAGTTTCTGTGACCATGAGACAAAATAGAACCACCTGCAGCCGTTTTCAACTTTATTGGCCAAGTGAATTTTCTTTTTCAAATTCTACATCTTTCTACTGCAATGTTTCAGTTATATTGTGTAATTTCCTTTAGTCTCAAAAAAATAACAATGAATTCCACTGAATATGTAGCCTAAACCACAAGGCTGAGCCCCAGTTAAAATCTTAGCTGCATTGCATTTTGTTTTAATTTGGATGATTTTTTCATAAGGGTTCTCACTGCTAACTTCAACTAAATGATCACATTTTCATCTTTTATTCTCTGGTCATGAGTCACAAGAGAAAAAAAATGCCAAAGCTTCTATAAAATCACAATTATGCTGTGGATAATGCAAGAGTCAAAGGATTCCTGTGGTTCGTGACAAATTGAAATGTGGTGGGGTTTCTAATGAGAAGACTGGCAGTGCTGTCTTAGTCAGAGAGCATGATTCATTCACTGTCCTTTGGAAAAGTTCAATCATTTTGCCACCCATTTTCCATAGCAAGCGTAAGGTGCCCAGGCACATTAATAGTCATCAGCAATGAGAATTTCCACTGTAAGTCCCATAAACAACTGAGTATGAAAATGCAGTATAGACGCTCTAACCACTCTTGAGAGAAAGACATGATATTTGATATATTGGTTACTTAAGACATTTCAAAGTAGCAATGTCTTTATTTTTATAGAATCCAGCATATAAAAATGGTAGCAATGAACTATCTTAAAAGCTGTGATTTCCAAAGAGAACTCAACCTTAATAGCTAAATAATAAAGTACTTGAACTAAATATGAATGAAACCCTAGAAGAAACACACTAATAATATTTTACAGAACCAAAGCATTTCCAAAATATTATAATTGCAACAAAACCAGAACATCAGGACACTCTCCCAAAGAATGAACATTACGTTCTGATTATGANCAGAACCAAAGCATTTCCAAAATATTATAATTGCAACAAAACCAGAACATCAGGACACTCTCCCAAAGAATGAACATTATGTTCTGATTGTGATTTTTTTTTTAAATGCCTTCTCCAATTACATTCTGGTAACATCTGACCCTGAACCACTAAATTGACAGCACAGGCCATTCTGTCCAGATATTGCTCCCATTTTTTTTCATTTGATTCCTACTGTTTTCTTTCTCTAAGATATTCAACANTTAAATGCCTTCTCCAATTACATTCTGGTAACATCTGACCCTGAACCACTGAATTGACAGCACAGGCCATTCTGTCCAGATATTGCTCCCATTTTTTTTTCATTTGATTCCTACTGTTTTCTTTCTCTAAGATATTCAACGTCTCTCTCTTTTATTTTTTCTTAATAATTTCCATCACAGTGTAAATCTAATAGTCGATATAGTTTCCTAAGTTTTCTCTTCTCTTCTAGGGACTGATGCAGAGTTGCAACCAGATGCACGCCTCCTACCTCTTCCAGCAAGATAAACATTACGACCTGTCCTACGACACTGGAGACAAGGCCCTGCAGTGCGGACGCCACGTTGATGTCTTTAAGTTATGGCTCATGTGGCGAGCAAAGGTGAGCCCGTGCAGATCAGCTGAGTGTTGACTAAAAACACAAACTATATCTGGTGAGCCTTAGTATGATGTGTTAATAATTGATTTCCAAGTTGAAAATTACTTACCCAAGATTAAGTTTCTGTAATGCTCTGTCTCTCTCCATATCTGCATTCTACCATGGGCAAGAATATAACAAAACCCATCGTGTGTTTTTCTTTTTAAACCAGTTTGCTCTGAATGTTCACTTGTCTAGAAAACAAACCCGTTGCGTTGTGTGGCAGAACACCTGCTGTTTCAGCAGTGTTTTGCTGTTGTTGTCTCCCAGCGCTTGGTTTTCACCCACTGATTGATCATGGGGCAGGTTAATGCAATCTAAAAGCTTATGTGTGGAGAACGGAAAAGGAAAACGCCCATCCTGATAGCTTATCTTTGACATTTCCAAGGGGTAACCTCTGGTTATAAAGCTTTCTTAAAAACTCCAGGCATACCTAGTGACCTCCTTTGTACGGCTTCTTGATTGACCTCAGAATTTAGCTGTGGGTGATCGGCCCTCTCTCAGAAACACAAACTCTGTAAGTAACAGTGCGCAGCACTGGCGGGGCCTCGCTGCAGCCTTCAGAGGGCATCGTGTGTGTGTCAGGCTGGAAAGGCTGAAGATTTTATTTTTCATTTTGACCAGACTCCTAACTTAAATGTCACACATCGGTGACTTCCCACCTGGTCTCATTTACCACCCCCAGGAGGCAATGCCCAGAGCCAGCTGGACGCGCTAGAAAAGCCCGACTGCTAAGAGAGTACATGAGGAAAATTTGACAAAGGGGATGAGAAAGGAGGAATTGGACGGAATCGTCATGCCCTGAGGTCCTATGTGTGCGGGGAAAGGTCCCACAGATTTGGCTCTAAGCTTTGTAAGCAGCCAACACAAACATGTGACAGGTTCAATCCCGTAGGAAAAAGCAGATAATTAGGTCAGTGGGGTGAGACATGCCAGGGTTAGACCACGGAATGGTCTCTTCCTCGGGTCTGTGTAAAGAGGTATGAACCATATCCACAACCCGAGTCCCATATGCTGTTGTTTATAAAATTTTCAAAGTAAACTGAATTGCCTTAAGCAGTTTAGAGAGGTGGATGGCTAACAAGAAAAAGAGGGAGCTTGACAATCAGACAATAGGGTCCACAATGATTTCATGGACTCCCCTTTAAATCCATCCTTGGGAAAAGGCAGGTTAAATAGAAAGATGCTTCGTGCAGAAATAACTCTAAGGTGGTCTCCAGGGATGGCTGGACTAGATGTTCTCCAGGCAAGCCTCTGTAATACTATTTACCTGAGCTGAATTTTCTCCCTGTGTTGCTAAGTATTGAGCAGCTACCTGGAGTGAGGCCCCAAGTATGTTGTTGCTCCATAAAGGTGGTGTGATGGGTGAGTTCTCAATCCCTTGACCTGGGCAGGGGGCATCTTTGTCTTTTGAAAGTTGAAAGCCTGACAAGGACAGGCTAGTCTTCATCACCCAACATGAGACTCATTTGGTTGGCAATGACACTTTCATTTGAGGAAAATAAATAAATCGAGAATATGAATTATTGGTGTACTCTCAAGCTAGTTAAAAGGAGTGGGCTTTTCATTTCATTAATGGGTGGGAATTACAAAATATCAGCTAGTAACTTGAAAGCTTGATCTCTAAATATTGTTCAGTCCCATCCTTTTTGTCTCCTTTTCCTGTGGTGTTTTTATTAAGGTGATGATCATTAGCCATGTTCACACAAAAATGTTTCTCTCGTGGTTCATCAGTTCCTGCTACCCCTTTCCCATCTGAAGCCTCCTCACCAGCATGGTGCAGCAGTTCAGTTCTTAGAGAAATAACTCGGAGGACATCAGGTGTGAATTAAACAGCAGGAACAAATGAAGCCTGAAATAAAGGCAAAGGATCCAGTTTCGAAAGTGCTGAAATGAAGGCACCAGGAGAGGGGATAAAAAGAGAGAAAAGAACAATCACAGCAGCCACATAACTTATGGACACATGGTCTCTTAATTCCTTGTGCAAAACCCTGAACGTCTAGACATCTAAACAGCAAAAACAGCCATTTGGCTTTCAACTTAAAGCTGGTTGTTTTGTTGTTGTTGTTGTTTACAAAGTGAAGTAATAATAATTATTAAAGTAATAAGCCCAGTTCTACACTCTGGATCAGAGGAGAAGATAATTACCTTCTCACATCAAAAGCTATCTAGTAAAGCCAGCCATAGAAGGAGAGGTCATCTCTCCTGAGAAGAACCACAGAAGAATGAGCCATGATGTTCTATCTTACATGCCCCTTTGCTGTCAGGAATGAGGCAACAATCTGAAAAGTCAACCATCAGTAAACCCTCTGTTATCAGATATGCCTGGAGAATGCAATGTTCGAGAGAATCCACACTTTTTCCTAAGATAAACCACAGGAAAGATAGCACCATATGTATAAATTACTATCCTTTAATTTGTTAATGACTAATGGAGCTAAATGGACTGATGGCAGCCATCACATTAAGTCCAAGATAACTTGATTAGGCCAGATTTATAAAAATAAAAATAAAAAATTAGCCTCCTGATGTGGGATGCTGGGAGGTGTCTAGCCCACGTGATAATGCATATGCTTGTCATTAGCAAAGGCATTGTGCCTGCCCTCAGCTCTGTTCTTACTGAGTTGAACTTCCATTTTGTCTGCATTTTATTAGCACTTGATGATTATTTTCCATCTTGACAGGTATCTTCAGTGGTAAAAACTTGGTGGTAGAAAAAAGTACTTAAAATTAGTCCCCCTATTTTTAGGCCTGCGGGGATGGCTTAATATGTAATTAATGAGTTTTCACAGTAAATCTCTGTGTTTGTATGTTTATACAAATAGGCAGGTTTCCTTTTAGTTTTCTGTGATTGGCATCCTTCATTGAAACGTAGNTTAGGCCTGCGGGGATGGCTTAATATGTAATTAATGAGTTTTCACAGTAAATCTCTGTGTTTGTATGTTTATACAAATAGGCAGGTTTCCTTTTAGTTTTCTGTGATTGGCATCCTTCATTGAAACATGACAGAGGAACTGGCAAATGGCTAAGAACAAAAAGTAACAGGAGAAAACTGTTCAGGGGCCATTGATGACTGCTGGTATCCTTTGCTGAGTGACTGTTCACTTTCTCTCTAAAATACAAATTTATTTTAATAAATAGATATTGAGCAGCTGTTATTGTGCCTGGTGCTGAATGGGATAAAGAGCTATCATTTTCCAGACAGGATATGATAAATGCACAGATAACCGTCACATGAGACGGAATATAAATGGTCCTAAAATAAACACAAGATACAGCTTGAGAAGTTAAAGGATGGAGAGCTCATTCCTAGTTTGAGAGTGAAGAAAGACTTATCAAGAGATGACCTTCAAAATGCGTCTTGAACAGGATGGGTAGAAGAGTAGGATACCAACCAGTAGAGCTGGGAGAAGGACATTCCAGGAAGAAGGTCTAGAAGGGGCTGAAGTGCCTAATATTCTGAGCCTAGTGAAGAGTCTGGGCGACAGAAGGATAATTAGGGAGCGATAGTCCAGACGATGGCAGTAAAGATGGAGCTGACAGCAAGGGATTCAGTCATTTCAGAAGCGGCAGCTCTGCGCCTGAGAGCATTAGACGAAGGTTTTAAGAAGCAGAGAGGAACCATGAGCAGCACTCAGATGTCAGGCCCTCAGACAGCACCAAGGCCGTAGCCGAACAGTGGGAGACCGTGAGATTGTTAAAGAAGATAACACAAACCGCCTTCATCTTCCTGAAATGCTAATTTTGGAGTCAGGTGGGCCTGAGAATCTACATTTTTCACAAGATTAATCTGGTTTTAATACAGAAGGTTCTTCAGAACATACTTTGTAAAAACGCTGCCCCAGGGATTAAAAGTTATAGTTCCATTCGTGTATTCATTCATTCAAAAAATATACATTGAGCACCTAATATGTGCCCAGCACTGCTGGTATGAGTGATACAGCAAGGAACAAAAGGAACATAAATATGTACCATTGTGGAGTATATGTTTCAGCCAGGTCAGTCTAAACCAATCCTAAGCGTGGGCAATGAGGGACAAAATAAAACCATCTTTCCCCTGAAGCTCCTTCAACATCACCCTGACACTGGGATCCAGCCTTTCACTTAGAAACACCCATCTGAGTCTTCAGCTCCCTTCACAGTGACTCAGGTTGCGATGATGCTATGCCTGACAAAGCTTTACATGTGCCTTAGTGACTCTCACAATATGAGCTAAGTGGCATCCGATAGCTACTCAACACGAGTTTGATGAATAAATGATTTTTAGATCATCTCCTAAAAGGCTTCAAAACTCTGAAAATAAAATATTGATCTTATTTCCATAAATATCCAACGTGAAAGGAGGGGCCCTAGGCTTGTAAGAGCACACTAGAGTTTCCTGTGTCACTCCCTTTGTATCTGTTGAGCCATCAACTAAAGGGGCAGTCAGACTCCTCCTGCTCACCTCCAGAATGAAGACTAGCAAAGGCCAGAGGATTTCTACTCCCTTTGCAAACACAATCAAACTCATTTTCAAAGCATTCATTTTACCTTACGATGTCTCTGTGTGGGAAATGACACAGGCACCATTCTTCCCACATGACGAGAGAGATCAGCCAAGGTCTCACACTGGACAGGGTCAGAACCATACTGGTCCTGGCCATAGCCTGGATCAGGTGTGTGCAAATTTAAATTCAGCTCTAGACTGATCCAGTTTGAAGAACAACTAACCTCTCTCCTTCCTACCTAGGGTCCATCCCAAGTGGGCCCAAACCTCCAGGTTAGCCTAAACCAATCCTAATTTCTTTGGCACCCACAGATTCATGAAGCACATGGCAGAGGTGTTGGCATGAGCATTCAGGCATCAGCTCAATCCTTCTTTGGGCTTATCAGGAACCAGTCAGCTTCTTTAAACCAATCAGCTAGGCAGCAATCTCCAAAGAAATAGATTTCTAAACCCATGAGATTTTTTTACTGCAACTTGTTCTTAAATATCCATCAGATATTAAATGTCACTGGCCATGCTGGATCCCTCTTTTAGCTAGGATGAGCAGACTGTGGAAACAGGAAAGCAGGCTCATCTTATCTCCATTACAATTGCTCGCTCTAGTTTCGACGTTGGATTGGTCACTGGTAGGCCAGTTCAAAGAGTTCCTGGAATGAGCATTAGCTGTTTTTCTAAGCTTTCCATTAGCATGCCACAAACACTGAAGAAAAGCCATTTTGAAAAGCAATTCCCTAGTGTGGCCTGACGTCAATTAAACAGTTCTAGTCCAAGGCTGTTGTATTGTTTTTCCTAAGTCCAGGCCCTGGGCTTCCAGAGCTGGAGGTTAAAGACCTCTGTGATCTTGCTCGCCCATTACACACTTATCAGTCATTTATCCCCAGAGGAGAAATCTGATGAGCTTTGCAGAGTGACAGGCTAAGAGAACATCTGTGTTCCCCTTAAGATTCATTCATTCATGTGTTCAACAAATATTCACTGAGACCTACCCTGTTTGCACTATGTTGGGGGTACATTTTGTAAACAAAAACGGGGCCTGGAAATGACACATGTACATGACGGGCAGAGGCTAAGCAGGCCTCCTGTGGGGTCGGGGCTGGTCTCTGACGATGCCTCTTATCCACAGGAGGAGACTAGCCCGGCCCTCCTGTCATTAATGACTTTCATAATTACCCCTATGAATGGCAGGCACAAATTTCCCCCTTGAGTAATCAAAATAATTGCCTGGGGAATGGAGGCTCTGGGAAAAAAAGGAGTCTCTGTGGAGAGCAGTAATGACAGATGTGAAAGGAAACAAAAACACCTGAGGGGAGAACATTAAAGGAGAAATAATTGCCAGAAAAGCTTTTAGAAACACTGTCTTCTGTTAGGGAAGGTGCGCAGCCGAGCTGAGACAGAGGTGGCAGAAAGATCATCTGTCTCAAGGGGTCACTTGTCCCGCATCTCAGCTTGGCGCTCCCCCCTTTTCTCAGCCTGCCTGAGACTCTTTCTCCTTCTCTTCCTTAGGGGACTTCTGGGTTCGAAGCGCATATTGACAAGTGTTTGGAGCTGGCGGAGTATTTGTACAATATCATAAAAAATCGAGAAGGATACGAAATGGTGTTTGATGGGAAGGTATGTCTTCTGATTTCTACAATCCCAAAATGTTTAATCCATTGCCTGGACATTCTTATCCCTGATATTTTTTTATGTCAGTAATGCACTACCCAGATAAGTGGACCATTACGGAGGAGAAGCACGGATGCCGCGGTAGCTATTCTGAGCTGGAGTAAAAATCAAACGCACAAGAATAACTCTGGATAATGTTGTGAAAGGCAGGCACTTCAAAGGTGGTTACGGATTTAAAAGCAGGATTTGTATTCAGAAGCTGCAGACTAAACAGATTAGAAATGTCCTTGGTATTTTCAAAATTGCCAGTTTGGGCTGAGTGTGAATCTTACTTTCCTCTCTGTAGCCTCAGCATACAAATGTCTGCTTCTGGTATGTTCCTCCGAGTTTGCGTGTCCTGGAAGACAATGAAGAGAGAATGAGCCGCCTCTCAAAAGTAAGTGGTACAAGTTCCTCTGATATGGCTGTCGGGGGGTATCTTGGGGCTTTCACGTGTATATCATTTTTATGATATATTCATAGGTGTTTAGGAGAAATCCATCCTTAATCTTGGTGCGTGGACCCACCCCCCTCTGTGGGCTCCTGCAGAGCCAGGACGTGCAAAGCTGGTCTGTCCAGTCTTTTAACAGCTGTACCTCCTGGCGGTGGCTGACCTGCCAAGTGAAACTGGCGCTCAGTTACAAGCACAGAAATGATTAGAAAATAAAGCTGCTGCTGATCCTCTTGAGATGCCAAGGTCAAGACTGTCCCATGGGGTCTTTAGAACTGTGGTGACTCCCAGAAGGTAACGGCAGGGAGCAGTGATAACGACCACTGTTCAGTGTGGTGGTCCCAGCTCAGCCCTGAGCCCGCATTGCAGCACCTCTCTCGCAGCCGCCTGCTTCGGGAAGCACTGTTGTCTCTCTGTTCCACTGACGGGGAGCTGGAAGCAAGGGAGAAAAAGTCACTTTCCCAAAATCAAACCCAAGTCTGACCCCAGAGCGTGAGAGCTTGTGCTGTAAACCCTACTGTGGCCAGTAAGACCCCCTTTCTTCTCTCTCTCCTGCTCCCATCATTACACACAAGTGAAATCTGGTTTATTATGTATGCCGAAGAGAACCTTGACGGGAGGGAAATGCAGGGGCCCATTTCCCACGGCGTTGGAAGAATGGGAAACTAGGGATGAGCCTGTGTATTTGGATCTCAAAGGGTTGGTGGGTTGGCTGGTTGGCTGGCTGTTTGCTTGGTTGCTTGGTTGGTTAGTTTTCCATTTTCCACAAAGGAGCAGACCTCCTCCAGGCACTGCCCAGAACAGGGAAGGCCCTCTCCCTGACTGCTAAAGAGCTGGGCTGCCTCGCTTACCTTCCCAAACATTTTATTTCCTTCTATTCAAATGAAGAACAGGGTTTTATGTGGGGTTTAAAACTTCCAGAAAAGCTTATAAATGTTAACTCCTGTCCTTAAGGACCTAGATAGAATAAAACTTACACATAGTCGAGGTCCTTAAATCAAGCCTTCTAATTAGAGCTTTGGTTTGCATCCCTGGCTACACATTAGAATTATCCCAAAGCTTTATAAAAAATAATGGTGACCAGGTCTTTACCCCAAGATTTTCATTCAGTTTGTTTTGAATGGGCTTGGGGATAGTTCTAAAAGTTCTCCAGGTGATTTCTATGTAAAACCCAGGCTGAGAGCCAGTGAACTACAGGAACAGTGCAGGAAACTTCTAGAGCAGGGACCCATGGGTGCATGTGTCTGGGGTGGGAGGGATCTTGGTCTTGTTTGTAGGTTTAGGGAAGGTGGTTCATTCCAGGAAATTAAGCCCAAGGGCATAAAGGAGTGAGGATGGGGTCATATTGGAGAAAATTATAGGTTCGAGGCAGAGGGAGCACTGCTGTCATTTGAGAGAAAAGAATTCTTTTTTTTCTGGAACTTTTATGGTGGTTTCTCCATGGTATACATTATCTTAACAATTTTATTTAACAAGTTAGTTAGAAATTTAATATTTCTGTTTTTAGCGGCTTTCAGTTCTTTAATTCTCTGACCAGACAGATAATGAATGGAGTAGTTTGGCTGATTCCATTTGTTAAATTGATTTATTACTGCTGGGCTGAGGGATGGATCAAGATGGGACTACAAAACAGAAAGGGGTTTTCATCATTTTCTGAGCTAAAGTCAACTCTGAGTTCCACAGTTAAATACAATTCTCTTCAAACGCCTCTGAGATTTAGCACATCACATAAACTGTAATGGAATGGAGATTATTTCTTGGGAGCAGCCATTAGAATATTAGTAAGTTGTTTTCATACTGTAGATAAATCAAATTGAAAGTCTCCTGGGATTGCAAAATGAATTCTCCTAATTTTTCCTCTCCTGTGACTCCATTCTCCTGACTGTAATAGAGAGAATTCAGCAATTCAGAATTGGAAATCAAAATAGAACCACATAAATATCAAGGTTAAGTTTTGTTTATTTATGTCAATAATTTTTCAGAAAAGTTTTTCATTAAGTACAAAGCCCTTAAACTGTCATGTCCAGGGACCAGTAAAATCTTCACACACACACACACACACACACAATCCCAGAAATAAAAGCGCTGAGATGAAATAAATCATCTGCATTATCCAATATGGTAGTAATAGCCACATGTGGCTATTTAAATTTAAATCAACTGAAATTAAATTCAACCAGAAATTTACTTCTTCAGTCATACTAGCCACATGCCAAGTGCTCAGTTTGTGACTAGTGGTTATCACCTCAGATGGTTCAAATAGAGAACATCTCCATGAGTACAGAACGCTTTCTTGGTCAGCGCTGATATAGACCCCAAATGGGGAGGAATGGGGAGTCTTCTGTGTGGTGTGGGGCAAACAAGAAAATGAGGTTAGCACTGGCTGATGTGGCTCAGATCAGAGCATCTGCCCTCAGACTGAAGAGGTTGCAGGTTCGATTCTCAGTCAAGGGCACATACCTGGGTTGCAGGTTTGATCCCGGCCCTGACCGGTGCACGTGGGAGACAACCAATGGATGTGTCTCTCTCACATCGGTGTTTTCTCTCTCTCTCTCTCTCCCCCTTCTCTCCCTCCCTTCTACTCATTCTCTCTAAAAATCAATGGGGAAAATATATCCTTGGGAGAGGATTAACACAAAAAGAAAATTAAGTTAAATTACTTGGCTTAGCATACAATAGGCACTCAAAAGTGTTGCGCTAAAGTGCTATTTGCATCTTCCAGAACAGGGAAGGGAAACAACACTGAGGAAACCTACTAGTGAATCATAGGCCTTGTCTCAGTCCACCTGCTGGCTTGGGGATCGATATCTAGGTGACAACTGGTTATTACTAAAACAGGCATAAGTCCCAGTTTCATGAGGGAGGTAAAGGTGAGAATCTGGTGGGTGTGTTTCCTGCTGCCCAGTCAGGACTGTGACTGTGCAAGTGACATATAGTCACTGAGGCAGAGTGGGCATGAGGGCCTGGGCGCTATGGGGACATGATCACACGCCTTGGACACAGGCAAGGGGCAGCAGGTAGGCTCCGTTTGCAGGCAGTTATCAGATAAGAATCCAAAGGCTGCATATTGATTACCGCTTGTGTTTCTAATTCTTTTTCATCATCATCTTCTTCTTGTATTTTAATTTTCATTACGTTTGATCATTACCTGCATCTTTTCTATCAGCTTTTCTAGTCCTACACTGATTGGCTTACTTTCAAAAGATCAACTTTGGATTTAAAAGTAAATTTGTAAAGAAGTACTTTGGTCTCATATTTGACGTGACTCTTCTATTATTAAATGTAGTGGGGAATTTAATTTGTGAGATTTTAACATTATAGAATGTCGTATTAATCGTTATTCTAGTTCATTTTCCAAAATTTCACTCATACTTCCAAAATTTAAAAACAAAAAGGTTTTATAATACACACTGAAAAATACATTTCTGTGACAGCGTGTGAGGTTATTTCATGACGCTTTAATCTGAGCTCTCTTTGGGGGAAGAAAAAATGTGGATTCAAATTATGAAAGAGTCCCCTGGTTATTGTTTTCTAAAAGACTGAAAAAGCTAGTGGCACATAAGAGAAAATAATACCCTAAAACTTTTAAGGCAGCTCCAAAGAGCTCTTGCTGATTAGGCCCTTAGTGAATTCTTCAACATGCAGCCCCTCTCTTTCTCGACTGTTTCTTTATTCAGCAAACCCAAAAATGTCACACACACACACACACACACACAATCCTTGAAATAAATGAAAACTCTAAATATTCATCAGAATTGTGAGAATTGTATTTTTCTTAACTTGCAATTAGTAATTACATAATGAAGTAGATGTTCCATGTTCTTGCTAATTTTAGTTCATCAGCATTGACTGGAAACAACTAAAAGTCACATGTATTTAGACAGCTGTGATTTCTGCCAACCCAGCTAGCTTCAAGAACTGGAGGGATTCAGTCTTATTTTATGCCAAAGTCTGTTTGGGAGAATGGCTGTTACCATTAACCTTTTGACCTTTGATTTGCATTTATCTGAAAAATTAGAGTTGGTTGTTCATGATAACTAGTGCCATTCCTGTATGTTTTCCTTGCATTGCCCATGCAAACTAAATCAGGGTTTAATTCACTGAGTAAAGCATAGTCATTGTTTTATCACTTCTAAAAAGCAAGCATAATTGTTGCACAGGTAAAACTAAGGAATAGTGCCTGGCCGGCGTGGCTCAGCAGTTGAGCACTGGTCATGATTCAGGAGATCTCGGTTCAATTCCCCGTCAGGGCACATGCCCGGTTTGTAGACTCGGTCCCTGGTTGGGGGGCGTGCAGCAGGCAGCCAATCAGTGACCCTCTCATCATTGATGTTTGTATCTCTCTCTCCCCCTCCTTTCCTCTCTCTGAAATCAGTAAGTATATATTTTAAAAAACGCAAAAAACTAAGGAATAGTTATGTGATTTTTTCCTTAAGTTCCTGCAGATGNAATAGTTATGTGATTTTTCCTTAAGTTCCTGCAGATACATGGATTTGGAATTCCTTTTCTAATTTGGGACTTCTCTTCCCAGGAACATACTGACTTGCCCTGCCTCCTAGCACAAAGTAATGAATTTCATGTCCTTAGGTTAGAATATTCTAGTAGATCCATTTTCAGAACTTAATCCCAGACTTTAGATATTTAAATTCTAATTTATATTTATTCCTTGCGATGAGCCCAGTGCTATGGAGATAGCCTTAGTTTTTTAAGTGAAAGAAGGCTCAACCCCACAGAAATATCCATCTTTATATTACCTCCCTATGGTATAGGGAAGGGGTGGGAAGGGACTTAGAAATTTGTTAATATAGAATCAGAAAACTCAGTGCTGGAACCATCTCCACATTTTTAGATGAGGAAATTAGGTTTAGGATGTGAAGTGAAGGTGAAATGAGGGTGAAAGGAAGTCTGTCTTTGTCTTTGTCTTTGGTAATGAAGGACAGCAGAGTTTGCCACCCCAAAATATGCTTGTGAGAATATTGGTTATTTTAAGCTGGTTTTTAACAAACAAAAGATTCAGAAAGAACCTTTGACCTTCCCTCTTTACCTGCCTAAAGGAATTTAGATAGAGAACCTGCTCCGGAAAGGGAGAGATCATCACAGATAACTATAGTTTAATTTCAAATAAGTGTGCTAGACATGGAGAAACCTAGCAAGGTCCCTTTGATCAAAGTCTTCTCTTGTTAAAGATGGCCCAGCAAACATTTATTTGCCAAGCTTTTGCTTTTCCATCTTCATGTAGATTGCGATCCTACCCTTTGATGTTCCAAACCACAACCCACCTCCTCTTCTCCTTAGCTCAAGATGGCATATAAGCCCTTAACTGCCCAGTCTGTCCGTGGGTCTCATTCTTATGGCACCTGTAAAATAAACTTTGGACATTTTCTCCTGTTAACCTGTGTTTATTAAACTTGATTATTAATCCAGCTAGAAGAATTTAGAAGGTGGGAGGAAAACTATTTTTTGTGCCCCCAGTTTCTAACAAATCATTAAGCCTGATGGGAACCATGTTAATTTTGTGAATTGAGTACTTTGAAGATGAAAACCTCATTGTAAATCAATGATCATTTATGTATTGGTATTGAAAAGTGGTATGTTCATAACAGCATTCCATTTGAATCTAACTACCCTTCATTTCAGATGGATTCAACTGTGATATAAGGCATGGTCCCTATTTTGAACCGAGTTGTTGACTATGTATATCCAAAATGAGTCTATAGTGTTCCTAACATCTACCATTCCTGCTAACATGTTTGCAGCAATAAACTTAAAAGGTCAGATGTTATATTTATAGACTCCAATGATAAAATATCATTGGACTGATCATACATACAGTTAGACATAATTTAAATGCATGCCATTATAGTCAATAAGAACTCAGGAATCCTTCAATAGGCACCCAGCACCACCAGTAAACAAAAGAAGTGAAAGGCTCTCCTGCCCTCCAGGAGCTTGTGGGTGATGTTATAAGTTCATAACATCAGGTAAATAAAAATAAATACATTAATCAGAGATGAAATGTATTTTCTCATAAGAGGACAATTGGAAATTAGAATATAGTCATAATCTACGGGTCATATATTTATGACTTAAAAGAGAGAAGATGCTAGTGGACCAGAGGAATCAGGAAGGGGTTCATAGCAGTTGTAGGACAGCAGCGGAGCCTTGGAGTGTGTGCTGAACATGAACCATAAGAGAAAAAGGGATTGTAAACAAAGAGAACAAGTGTGACATGGCAAGTGTGAGGGTAAGTGAGACGGGATAAAAATATGTGATACACTCAAGGGGTATTCGATAGCTCTTGTCAGAGTTGAAGGTTTATTTTGATGAGCACTGGAAGATGAGTCCTCAGAGCTGGGTGACAAAGGCCTTTGTGCTGAGTGAAAGAGTGACTTTAATTTCATACACAATAGAGGACTGCTGGCACTGTAGTCACCAGTCTGGCATACATGTAGAAAAACCTCCTCTGTGATCCACTTCTGTAATGTTAAGTCCTTACGGGTTCAACTTTTTGCCTCAGCTGATTCTTCATCATTATTAAGAAACATATTTCAAAACACCTTATAAACTGAGGCAATGCAAAAGGGGAAGGAAAAGGAACTAGAAAGCCTTAGAGTCTCAAAAGTCTGCTTATTTTCATACATCACTTGATGTTGAGGCTTACCTCTTGGTAACCATTCTCTGAACAATGTTTTATTTCCAATGTTTCTATATATACAGAGGGGGGAAAATACCCTCCCCCATATGTTGTATTGCTAAAGTATTTCACCAACACCAGATTCTTCTCATTCTCCCAAAACACTGACTAGAAAGTCAAGAAAAAGGTGGCAAGCACTTAATAGCCTACCATTTATTATTCCTCTTACCACCTTTAAGATCTTGGATGTATTGATCTGCTCCAGCCCTCCAATCCCAAGAAAACTTGGAGGCAATTCCTTGAAGGAAAAACAAAGAGGATTCTAATTGTTGAGTTAAAAACTAAAAATGCTACTTGATAGCAGGCTATGTGACCAAGGGGAGAGTCCCCGGGAGAAACAGTCACCATATGGGTCTGGTCTCTCGCACAGGTGGCTCCGGCGATTAAAGCCAGGATGATGGAGTACGGGACCACGATGGTCAGCTACCAGCCCTTGGGGGACAAGGTCAACTTCTTCCGCATGGTCATTTCAAATCCCGCCGCAACTCACCAAGACATTGACTTCCTGATTGAAGAAATAGAGCGCCTGGGACAAGATTTATAAGAAGCTACCCGCTAAGCTGTTTCAGTTCTCTAGGTAGACAATTAAGTTGTCACAACCCGTGTGAATGTATTTGTAGTCTGTTCCAAAGTAAATCTATTTCTATATTGTGGTGTCAAAGTAGAAGTACAGTTTAAAAAATTAAAAAAAAAACCACACACAAAAAAACATTGCTCCTTTTAAAAACCCTTTCTTAAGTTTAGAATACCTCTCTGATAATTAGTGACAAAGGCTGTGTTCTAATCCATAAGGAAAAGCTTAAGGTTGTTATAAATACTTCTCTTACTTTTAATATAGTATGCAAATCAGATTTTATTTTCCTTCAAAGTAGTAGGATTGAATCGTGCCAAATTGCCCCTGAATCGTAAGAGGTTCTTTGGGGTGCAGTAAAAAGGATAAGTAAATATAAAATGTATGTTGACAACAACAACTCTTGCCTTTTTCATAGTGTTAGNTCATAGTGTGAGAAAAAAATTTCTAATTTACCTATGGCAACATTTCAAATGTATTTAAATACATATAATTTTACAAAAGGAAAATATATATATAATGTATTAAAAAGAAATCCTATTTTGTATTGTATAGATTTTTATTTTCTATGGGTTATACAAACTGCAGGGGCAGATATAAAAACTAAGCCAGATTTTTTGTTTTCTTTCTTTTCACGGAGGCACAATATTCTGAAACGTAGGCCCACGAAATTCTTAAAAAGGTATGATGCTTTCTTTCATTCATGTTATGGCTTATCACGTCTCTAAAGTCAGTATTATAAAACAAACACAAAATAATACTGCAAGTTCCCTAAGATAACTGATCAAATCAACAGTTGAGACTCTCTTCCCATTTAAAAATGTTTTCCACCCAGTGGACCCTTTGCAGACCCACTGGGTGAGCATGACAAGCGAGCTGCACCCTGGGCCAAGTTAGGGTGACCGTCTCTATTCTGCCTTCCAGGTCAGCCTGTTTTGAACAGAAGGTTGATGCTGCTTCTTGAGGTATCTTCCCAAACCATATTCTTTTATTATTAGGTCATTTGGATTAACTAGAGAAAGATAAAAATAAAATCTAATCAGCCCGAGCAAAGAGGAACGAAGCACACTCCCGAATGTGGTGAGCCCAGAAAGTTAAAGTCGGCCTCGGGAGAAGAGATCTCTGTGTGAGAGCAATGGTGTCATCCGGACGCCGTGTTGTCACTGTCCAGGAAGGAGTCATTTACTGCCTGGGTAATTGTTTAGTCCCATTCTCTCCCATTCCTACTCACAGAAGTCTCCCCTGCTAGGCTCCCCATCGCTGGGATCCCAAATCATTAATTTCTACTCCATGGGTGGTTATTTTTTCCCTCTTGAAAAGAGCTTCTCACCCAGGATTTTGAGATAGTATCTTAAGACCTTCTTTTCTCTATTTCCCATCAAGATCCAAAGTGACCAGATTATGTAGAGATTAAGATCCTCAGAATTCAAAACGCTATTTGAACAACATCTGCCCCTGAAAACCTGATGGAGAGACATGGGGTTAACAAGAGCTCCCGCAGATATGTATGGGGCTGCCGATTCTCAGGTGCTGAGTGCTAGTGGAGAGGACTGCAGGCTCATATGTGAGACTGCAGACACAAACTTAGAAATATTTCTCCTTTCTGTATGGACCAGAAATCACTTTTACCAGTAGGTTGCTTTCCCCACCCCTGGCTCCTTCCAGGTCCTTCCCCAACTTTGCTGGGAGCCTTGCTCAACCCTATGGAGTGAAATCCCTACCAACCATAGCCCAGGGAAGGAGATAAATAAAAGTCTAATAGGTCCCAGTAGTTTAATAAATATTCTTTAAATTAAGCCTATAATCCACTCAGGTGGGAGGGACTGAGGGAGGAGATTGTTTTGAAAATTAGCCAAAATTCCCAGTACCAAAGGCTNGGGAGGAGATTGTTTTGAACATTAGCGATAATTCCCAGTACCAAAGGCTTTTATGTAGAACCATTCTTTACAAATTTTAGAAAAGTTTGGTTGTAGCTTTAATCAGAATTGACATGACCATTTTCATTTATACAGCAATATTGTGTTTGTTATTTTTAAATACTTGAAAAAAGTGTGGCATGTCTTCATCTGAGGCATATGAATGGTATTGACTTCATGCACTGTCACGAGGCTGCGAGGAAAGACAAGGGATCGGTTGTGCGTGTAACTGTGTTGCCTTTGTTATAATGATAATAGTGTCCTGTCACCTCAGATCATGGTTGTGCGCTTTAGATCTGAACTGTACAGTGTTGCAAATCAACATGCGTTGCTGTAAAAGCTTGTACAATATATTATTGATACGTCTCTTTCTGTGTGGTAGCTGTATTGATATTCCGAGAACCTACATTCGCATCTGTCCCTGTAATCTCTCTCTCCCTCTCTCTGCTGAGCTGTACGCCCTCCATATCAGCCCTAATGCAGAACAGGCCCTCAGCTGAGCTCCCCACTGAGAAAACTCCTTCACAAAATGCAAGGTGAATGCTACTCCATCTCTGAAAACAGAAGAAACCAATTGTGGAGTGTCACAGACTGCCAAAATTGCAGGGATCGTCCCTACTGGGGTTTGGAGCGGGTACTACTTCTTGGACTATGGACGAAGAAAGCACAGGTGTAAATACAGTGCAGGGAAGGGACCGAGGCCCTAACAGTGGAGATCATCTTGCACGTGCTGTCCTGTTTTCAAGTGCTAAGTACAAACACTGTGTATTTATTAGTTGCGTGTGCCAAAATAGTGTTCCCAACTGGTGTTTCTGAAAGACATCACCATCTCCTCCCCAACGTTATGCCATTACTAAAGACAGAAAAAATATAAACCTGTGACAACCTGTTCTTACCAAATATAAACTTGTGTATGATCAAAGTATTTTACCTGTGTCATCTCTCTAAACCCAAATAAATGTGTAAATGTGGTCACATCTCAGGCTTTATATCATTATTTCTGACCCTGTTGCATTGTGGAGCTAATTTTTAATGAACTGCCCAAATAAGAGGCCCTTCCCTTGTCACAGAGCTCAGCGTGTCTTTGGGTCTTTGTTGGGAAAATGAGCTCTTACTTCTGCAATTGCCCCCTACTGTAGCTTCTGAAGTATATTGCTTACCATGGTGGTTTCTCTTTCAGTCAGATCCAATCTTTAAAAAAAACTGTTTTATTAGGAAAATTTTGTGGACGTACATAAGTGGAGAAAACAGTATAATAAATTCCCATGGTCTCACCCAGCTTCAACATTTGCTGATTCAGAGCCTGAATCTCATTTCACCCATTCCCCCATCTCAAATCCTCCTCAACACCATACAGTCTATTTATTGTCATATAATCTATAAAAGAAGATTCCTTTTTTTTTTTAAAAAAAAAAAGNAAATCCTCCTCAACACCATATAATCTATTTATTGTCATATAATCTATAAAAGAGGATTCCTTTTTTTAAAAATAAGGCCTCAATACCATTATTACAACTAAAACTATAACAGCAATATTGCCATAACAACATCAACTATTCAGTGAGTGTTCTCATTTCCCTGATTCTCAATTCTATAGAAAAAGCCAGGCCCATGGCCTGTGGCCCGGGGAACCCAGGGAGGCCCCACACACCTTTCAGGGCAGCTGGGACATGTGAGTCGGGCTCGCAATACACATGGGCTATTGAGATGCGAATAAGTTAAAAACCAGAAAGCCATGGAAATTTAAGTGGTGGAGTATATTCTGATATGCCTTGCCAGGAACTTCTATGGCCAAATAAATACGTATCAGATTTAGTGTATGTTACAAGTGCTCATGAGGGCTATAAGGTCAAGGGGAGGAGGTGTCCTAAAGGGCTGGGTTTTGGTCCTAGGCTCCTGCCAGGAGAGGTAGGTTCCCTGCAGTTTCATCCTTCCAACGAGGCAGCTACTGGAACAGCTGCTGCAGTCAGACCGCCTGGCCTCAGGTGCCAGCTCTGCTATTCATTTGCTCTGTGACCCTCAGCAAATCACTTAACCTCTCTGAACCTGGGTTAGCTCATCTGTTAAGTGAGGACAAAAATAGCACTTGCCACATGGGTGATAGTGAAGATGGAAATGAGAAGAAAACCCAATGCCTGCAACATAGTGAGTTCAGTATGTGCTAATTTTACTTTTATTCCGCGCTGCCACCTGGAAGAACCAGGCTTCAGGTGCAAGTCCTCCATCCTGCCCAACTCATCGAGACAAGACTGTGCGGAACACGCAGAGCACGTGACGGCAGCATCTCCCCGCAGAAAGCCATTCCATGAGCTGTCCCTGAGGACAGCAGGCGGGTGGCTGAGGCAGCCCCGGTCACAGCCTTAGCCTTGGCTTTAACAGAGGAGGGGGAGACTCAGAAAGGCTGGGGCCGGCCGGGCGTGGCTCAGCGGTTGAGCATCGACCTGGGATCCAGGCGATCGGGGTTCGATTCCCGGTCAGGGCACATGCCCGGGCTGCGGGCTCGATCCCAGTCAGGGGCGTGCAGGAGGCAGCCGATCAATGACTCGCTCATCATTGATGTTTCTCTCTCTCTCTCCCTCTTCTTTCCTCTCTTTGAAATCAATAAAGATATACTTTAAAAAAAAAAAAGAAAGAAAGGCTGGGCAGGATAGCTGAGTGAAAAGGAAGAGTGAGAGAAATAAGCCCTTTCAGTTGGGGTGAATTATCTAGTACTTGTTCTGAATCCTTTCCCCAGAGCACACCCTTGCCCCAGACAGGCAGCCGTCAGAGTTAGAACGAAATTACACAGGACATGAGCTTTGGCTTCATTGTGAGACCAGATTTTCTCCTTACCGGGTTCTTTGTCTCGTGGAGTCTGAGAATGAAATTCAGGGACAACGGAAGAGTAAGGGAAAGAGTACAAAGGTAAAGAAAGCACAGCTCTGGGGTGTGAGAGGGGTCCCGAAAAGGGTCGCCTCTGCAGCTCACTAGCCTAGGGGTTTATATTTCCTAGATTTGTTCCTCATGGGCTCCTTCTAAGAATTCTACCTTAGTGACAGCCACCCTCTTTGTTTTTAGTTTCCCACTTCAGGGGGTCGGGTGTAGGGCAAACTTGTTTTTCTCTGTAGGGCAAACTTGTTTCTCTCATATCCTGTTTGCCCGGAACATTTCACCTTTGCAGGGTTCCTTTTTCCTCAGGGTCCCCACCCTAACTCCTGGCCATTTCTGACTCCTCAATTGGAATTGCTAATGTGGTCACTTACCTAAGGCTTACAGCTCCCATCTTACACACTGAGACTGAATCATGGGGGGCACACCACAGCTGAAAGAGTGACTTGGTCTACCCCAAACCATTAAAGAGTTTCCAAAAAGCAAGTAGCAAAAAAGCACTAAAAGTTCTAAATAAACGTTATCCCTTCCCACGCCTGCTGCCATTAGTCCTGGCCTCGTAGCATGTGCCCATCAGCACAAACAAACTGCACACCCGGGGAGCTGCACAGGCCTTTCTCTACTCGGAATCCTGCTCCCCACTTTTGGAAAAAATATGTGTGGTCTCTATTAAAGTGTCAGGACGGCTCGGGAAAAGTAATTAAAAGCTTATTACTGTTGGCAAGAAAAGGACTTTTCAAGAGGAATTTCAATTTATTTAAACATGGTAACTTTGTAAATTCCAAGAAAATTCAATTATGCAAACTTGACAAAAGGAGAGCTTCCAAGAGTTCCTTTCAATTCAGATTTTAGTCAGTCAAACGGAAATCTTGCTGCTAAATCTTTTGCTTTTTCTTTATTTCTTTATATGTCTGTTTTATGATGGTGGAGATCAAGAGAGTAAAGAATAGAATTTTTTTTTAGTATCAATTTTTAAATTTAAATTGCTGCAGAAGGTTACCCACATTCCCTCTGTACTGTCAAGACATGTTCTGGAGGGAGAACACTGTGCATCTCCACAGCTGGCTGAGCCCAGGCTGGTTTATGTTCAGGAAAGAGCAAACGGTTCCAATTCTTACGTAGCAGCCAAGAGGTAAAAAGTTTCCTTCTTTTTAAAGTGGCAAAAACAAAGCATCTGCTCATGCCACTTTTTAAAAAGGGTGGGTGGAGTTTCAGGTAAAAGATCTATTGAGAATTAACCGTCTATAGTTAGCCCTGGGTGGGAAATTAAATTCTGACATTGAGTGATTCTCCCTGCTCCTGTCATCACGAGCTATAATAATTTATTCTAAGAGCTGATTTAGTCTAGGAATAAATTCAATGCATGAAGAATCCCAAGCCAGTGACACTATTAATCTAACAGTTATAGCAATATTCAGTGAGATTCAATGAGGGAATCTAGGAATGGAGGAAGTCGCAAAGGCCGGGCCTAATTCCTTTTCATAATCCGCACCTTCAACCTGAGGCAGCTGTTGCATAATTTCTGAAGCCCTTCAACAATTTCTGGACTAATGACAAAATTTCTACTCGATAATATATTGTATCTTCCCTTTATAAGTACTGAAAGTCTTTTCCTCATCTGCAAGCTTGAGTTAGTGGCACTTATTGCAGAGGGTGATAAGAATTCGATGAGAGAACCCCTGCAAGGCCGTTGGCAATAGTAACCTGGCAGTGACTGTTCCCGTCTTTCCCCAGCCCTGTCCTGTGACTGTCCTTCCTTGCTGCTGTTAGAATCACATCCGGATAGATGCCTGCTGGGGAGTCAACANTAGATGGCTGCTGGGGAG